TTGTTCTTCAAATTTGCGTTCTGAGTCACTGCGACTCTGGATGAGGCTGAGGACAGACATGTCGGAGGGGGAGTGGTGTGGGAGTTGAAATGGGCGGTGACCAGGAGGTTAGGTTGACTGTTATGGGCCAGGCAGAGATGGTCGGCGAAACGGTCACCTCGTCTATGTTTGGTCTCACTGGTGTAGAGAAGACCACATCAGGAGCACCAGATGCAATAGACTAGGTTGGAGATGCAGGTCCTTTATTCATTCACGGGATGAGGGCATCACTGGTGAGGAAGCTTTTATTGCCCATCCCTAATTGTGAAGAGGGCAGTTAAGAGTCAACCACATTGCTGTGGGTCTGGAGTCACACGTTGGCCAAGTAAGGATGGCAGTTTCCTTCCCTAAAGGACGTTAATGAACCAGGTGGGTTTTTACAACAATCGACAATGGATTCATGGTCATTGTTAGACTCTTAATTCCACGTATTTATTGGATTCAAATTCCACCATCTGCCGTGGCAGGATTGTTACCCAGGTCCCTGGATTAAAATTCTAGCATTAATACCACTAGGCCATCGCCTCCCCCTGAAGGTGAAGCTCTGTCTCACTGTCTGCTTTCACTTTCCACCCCACGAGCATCCACATCCAACGTATCATCCTCAAACACTCCCACCAACTCCAATTAGACCCCAACACCCGGAACATCTTCCACTCCCCATCCCTCTCTGCCTTCCACAAGGACCATTCCATTTGCCACTCCTTAGTTTGTGCCACACTCCCCACCAACCAATCCAACCTGCCCGGTACCTTCCCCTGTAACTGTAAAAGATGCAACACCTGCTCATGCACTCCCTCCCTCACCTCCATTCAGGGCCCAAAACAGCCCTTCCAAGTGAGACAGAGCTTCACCTGCATCTCCTCCAACCTAGTCTATTGTATCCGGTGCTCCCGATGTGGTCTTCTCTACACCGGTGAGACCAAACATAGACTAGTTGACTGTTTCGCCAAGTATCTCCGCTTGGCTCGTAACAGCCAACCCAGCCTCCTGGTTACCACCCATTTCAACTCCCCACCCCACTCCCCCTCCGACATGTCCGTCCTCGGCCTCCTCCAGTGTTGCAGCAACTCGGAACGCAAATTTGAGGAACCACACTGGTTCTTCCGCCTGGGCACTCTACAGCCCGGAGGACTCAACATTGAGTTCTCCAATTTCAAATAACCTTCCCACCCATCCCTCTGCTCCCTTTCCAGCCCCACCAACTGGATTCATCCCTACCATCAACCAACCAGGTCGTACCTACCACCAGTGTCCACCTATCACCACCATTCTACCTCCACCCCCCCTCTTTATCTGCAGCTCCCCCTACCCCCACATCCAGTCCTGAAGAAGGGTAATACTCGAAACATTGACTGCTCCTTTCCTCCAGATACTGCCTGGCCTGCTGTGTTCTTCCAGCTTGTCTACCTTAGATTCCAGCATCTGCAGTTTTATTGTATCTTATTCTGGAATATGATGTATGGTTTCAATAAATCCCATTTGAATGAACACCATGGACAGAATTTTAACCATGCTGCTCTGTTTCAGATGCTAGAACAGGAAGTGGGGGACGAACTCTGATTTTTCTTTTTCCCCATTTGATTACAATTAAAATTTAAAATGCTGGGGTAAATGAGAGACACGTGCAATCAGGTGCCCAAATAGCTTTTCAGTTCGGAAAGTTGCCACCAGCGGACAATTCTGCAGGTGCAGGCAGCTATAAAACAGATTACTGGACAAACTGGGAGACTCTTCATCATGGCCACAATTTTCCTGCCTAACTCCACTGAAATAAGATTTAGTGAGAGCACAAAGGTAGAATTGATGTTATTAAAATGCAAATTTTACTTGTAAATATTTACACTGGCTTCACTTTATTCATGTGTACATTATGGTTATTTGTTGAGACTAGTTTAGTCAAAGAGCTAAATGTATTGGCACACCTCATAGTTGGCACATGCAGGAGTGTTCCAGACATCTCTTTGTTGTGGAAGCAACAATTTTGTGTTTCGTGTTCAGTAGGATAACATGGCTCCTGACACCCACAAACACACCTCTTAACTTAATCTCTACATCTCAACATGGTGGGAGTCAAGATTTCAGCTCCACCTGATGTCACCACCCTGCAATGTTACACATCCCATTCCCAAATGCCCTTCCTTGTTCTTTTCGTTGCTGAGTTCCATTTCTCTGAAGATGTTGCATAACAGACAGTAAATTAAACTCTGGCAGCTTCAAAATACAAGTGAGGCTAAGCACCAGATCAGTGGAAGGAACTAATTCTGAGGGCTGGTAAAGATTCCACTTCCAAACATTAATTTACCCACTTCTATCAACAGATGGTGCTTCACCTGTTGAGTGCATTTCCTGATCTTTCTGGATCTTTTGTTTGAAAGCTTATATTCTCTAAAGCATAACTGCACCACCCAGTGTCCAAACATAGAACAATCCCAATTCAACAAAAACATGAAGAGAAAATGAAACACTCCAAACCCATATGCACCAAGTCCTCCGTGGCATCCCACTTGACATATTCTCCCAGCTGTGACTGACCACTGCTGGAATCTCTCAGGATTCTTGACACTAGCACCATCTTTAAAGCCCAGCTGCCCACCTGGTCATGCATTGACAGCCCACAGGTGCTCTGAAAGGTGTTTTATTTGCGCTGGACAAGTTGGAGAGGGTAATTGGCGTCCTGCTTTGCCAACAGAATGTGGGAGTCCTAATGGAAGGGGGGGTGGGTGTGGTGTGCATGCGATCCCTGCCCACGAACGGTGCTCTGAGATGTTGGTGAGTGCATGGTAAAGGCTGGGGAGAACAAGCAGCGAGCTGGGGTCACCAGGTTACCACTCTGACTTCCATCTCAATAATTATCACCACCTAGTTTCTATGCAATGGAACACTGTGCGTAGGTGAGGCTACACCTGGACTACTGAATATTGTTTTGGTTCTCATTGGAGGCAGTTCAAAGAGGTTCACTAGACTGGTTTCTGTGTTTAAGGGGGTGACTTAACAAGAAATACGAAACAGATTAGTCCTTTATTTGTTAACGGTTTAGAAGAATGAGGGGAGTACGCATTGAAACATACAAGATTCTGAGGGGACTTGACAGAGTACATGTTGAAAAGATGTTTCCACTAGTGGGGGAGTCTCAAACTCGGGAATAAACTTATAGAAATACAGGATACTCATTTCAAACTAAGCTGCGAAGTAATTTCTTCTCCCTGAAGGTAGTGAATGTCTGGAATTCTCTAACCCAGAGAGCTGTGGAGGCTAGATCACTAAAAGTATTTAAAACAGAGGTATGTAGATTTTGAACGAGTGGGGAGTTGGCAGACGAACTGGTATGAAAGAAGATTTAAGGCCTGGGGCTGATAAGCCATGGTCTTGTTAATGATGGCACAGGTTTGAGGGACTGAATGGTCTACTCCTGATTCTATTTCTTACTGCTGTAAGAACATTGATCCTGGTGTTGTTTAGTAGCACCTAATCCAGCCTTCCATGTTTCTCGTTTTCACCTGCTACCTCTCCTGATTCCAGCTACACTTCCCACTCCCAAATATCTCACTTACCACTTCCCTCCCAGTAGCCACTTTTCTCTCCTGAGTCTACATTTTGAATGAAGGCTTGGGATAGGAGTGGCAAGAGGGAGGGAGGGAGGGAGGAGGAGGGTTGGCGAAGTGGGTCGTGCCGTGCAGGAGATTCAGGGGGCAGGACAGGTGATGAGGCAGGAGAACTGAGGAGGAACACACTGAGCAGCAGTTTTCTTTTAAGACTCAATAACTGCCCTAAAATGAAAATGGTGGCAGCACAATTGTGGAAGTTCCCTAATTTACCAAACAATTTAAAACTAAAAGACACCATTAGAACATACTTAAAATGGGGGATACATTTATAAGGAACACTTCAGCAGCCTGGATATTAATTCCCCATTTCAATCAACCGTCTGCCATTACTGCCATACACAAGCAACTGTAATTGCTACTTGCATAAATCAGCAGATTACATGGTATTACTCCCACAAATACGCACAGTGGGAATGTTTCTCACCGGTCTTTAAATGCATGTTACACTGCATGTTACTCATCATGCAACCGAAAGCATGTGTCAGGAGAAAAAGCTGCGTATATTTAGTCAGCACAGCATTTCTATACTTACACATGTACAGAAATACAAAAAGCAGTAAATTCATTTCAGTTACAATTAAAAATGTCATCTGACAAGACTGCAAGTTTTACTACGCAACCAAAAGAACAAACGTAATGCAAAAATTACCTTCAACTTCAACATTAATTTCAACAGTTTGCAACTTTCAACATTATTCCAGAAATAACAATTACAGTAAAAAGTACGAGGAAGGCAAAGATTACAATCAGTTTACATTTTCTATTACACATTTCTTTTTGAAAACTTTAAGCTGCAAATTTGTCTTCTGAGTACTGTAAAATGAGGGATGACAAATGTTGTCCATTTCATAATTCATTAAGCCCAGTGAAGAAACCCAAATAGAGTGTGAAACAGGTGGCTTGAATATGTCTACCACCTAAGACAAGTTCATCCACAACCTGAGCTACAGATCTTTGCCAATACTTTAAACAAGTTTATCCCTGTATAAAATTATTCTGTGATCAGTAACTGTGGAATGTCCAAACAAATGTAGATAACTGTGAAACACTTTCAGGCAATTCGTCATTTTGCAATACAGATCTGAAAATGTATTTGGCTGTTGTACCTTTTTAAAAGCTGCACCGCACAATTCGGTAAAGGTTTTAGACTTGTTTAACACTACTTCAACTCTCTCAGAAATATTATTCAGTTCTTCAATCAGAAATAATTATTATAGCAATTGCTGTTGTAATGTAACAATCATTTTGCACAAAATTCCAAACATTTTAACTGGTTCAGCACCATCAATTCATTTAGTTGGGGAGGGGAGGTTGGTGTGGGGGGGGGCGGTGGAGAGAGGGAGGAAGAGAGAGAGAGAGAGAGAGACAGCTGATGCCTGATTTTAAGTGAATAAAAAAGTGTGATGACACTTGAAAGACTGCTCTGCTTTAACAAATGCCCTGAGATTTTTAATGTCTGCACAAACAAGCAGATAGACTTCCCAAATAAAGGGCAAAACTTCTAACAATCTAACAGTCTCTCAGCACTATACTGAATTGTCTGCTTTAATTATTAAAGAAATAATGATTGATCACTAAGTATTTAGTGACAAAATCAGACTTGTAAATCAGGTGAAATTTTCCACTTCATGAACATCATCTCGTGTCAGTTTCTACTGAATCTCAGTTCAAGTTGTAACAGTAGACTTCTTTTAGACAAGCAATGCGATACTCCACTTGCAATTGTTTCCTAAGTTTATGTTGTGTGGCCAGGTGCAAAAACAAGGGCAGAAGAACTAGGCATAAACTCTTCAAAGGGTTAAAATCTCTCCAAGAGTAATGTGAAAATGAGTGATATTGTTATACATGAAACAGATTGAAACCGAACAAATTCACAACGGATTAATGACTCGTGTAGCACTGAAAAATTGAAGCTAACCACTGAGTTAACAGTCAAGGTCCAAGGTTTGACAGTTAGACTTAGAACAGAGTTGAGATAAACCCAATGTAAATGATGAGTGTTAAAGGAACTGGAACTTAAAAATCTAGATAATAAAAGTATACACTATTGTGTATTCGGTTCTGTCACATTACATTGCTCCATCACCTCCTCAATGAGGAGTAATATAACTAATACTTAGAGCTAAATTTCTAAACTCCATCGAGGGCATGAATTCCAAACATCTAACTCCATCATGATCCAATGGAAAGCAGCTTATTAGCTCCGGGAAATTACACTGATCAACAGATATGGGTCCAGGAAAGTAAACTGGAACCTTTTTACATTTCCAAAGAAAATGGTCTCATTTCATTTCTTCAATCAGTTCTTCTGCTTTCACTACTGAAAACTCTGTCTTCTTAAGCTGGTATAGACCATGGTGTTTGTTGTCTGCCGTGAACTCACCATGTGCCCAATCTGCATGTCTGAAACTGGGCATTAAAAGATTTGAATTTGTAGCAGGGATTCTCCTGATCACCAATCATGCTTCTGCCGTTATTTCAGGGAGTGTCACAGATTTTTGAATGAAATAACATGTGGGAGAACTTGCATGGAAATTCAACTCTGAAATATGAGCAGACTGCTTGTCCATAGATGGCACGGTGTCACAGTTCAGTTGATCCATTTCACAGTGCCTATCCACACACTTGAACATTGCATAAACAGAAACGTTAAACAGCACTAAGCATCAGAAATCTGGTCAATTACCCTCTCCTGCTTCAGTGCTATCGCTAATGCCAGCTAACTCAACAAGGACTGGGAGTGTTCAATGCAACCTTTCATTACCATAACCAGCTGACCTAACAGGGTACATTGTCCTTCACTGATACCAGAAACTCAGCAATAATACCAACAAAATTCTAATTCTCAACCCACCATATTGTTCACAAAACCTAGCAATTGTGTTAATTCTTTGCAAATTCTCTCAACATTTCTTATAATAGGTACAAGTTTAAAAACGCATAACATGCAAAAGGAATGGTGAAAACATAAACTCCCCTTTCCTTACTGAATGAACATTGCTTGCATTTTGCTGGTAATTGGCTGGGACTGGTCTTGGGCTGCAACAAGGCTCCAAGAACATGCTTAGACATGAGAGAATTAGAATACACAAGCTGTTAACATTATTCACTTAACAAGATATGAATTAAAACATCAACTCAGAAATATGTGTACCACAATTCTAGCTTTCAAACATTGCTCTGCATTATTTTACAAATTCTGACTTAATTTTTTTTTACAGGTTCTTTTCACTTTTAACAATCTTGTCCCTTATTGTGATACACTGAACATGCTAACTTGAGAATCAACCATCCTATATCCATCCCTAAGGTATTTAAAAAATCATTTTAGTCCTTTGTCCAGTTGATGATCTTTTCTTCATAGAATCATCTCCTAAACTACTTCTATAAAACTAAAGTAACATAGGAATGGAGATGGTGCCTTACAAGACCATTCGTTTCAGGATCATCTCAGGGGTGATTGTTTTTTTGCACTGACCATTCACTGTGGTTAGCTCTTTGTTGCTGTCAACTGGTATGATCTCAACTGTGTGGTTAGAAACACTGCCTGCAAACTCCTGTGGCTCCAACTTCACTCCAGCTGTAGAGGCAGAATGGATACGTGAGTCAAAGGTTGTGAAATAGGCCGATGGAGAATGAGCAAATGACAGGAGAAAAGGGAATCCGAGAAAGATCATACATTAGAGAGGAGTGAAAAAGTCAGATTGAATCAGAAGGACAGAAATTTAGAGAGAATGTACCAGAGAAAGAACAATAGTAGGTCACATGAATATAAGCATTAGGAGCAGGAGTAGGCCATTCAGATCTTTCAGGCTACATTGTCATTCAACTAGATCATGGCTGACTTTTTACCTCAACATTATATTTCCAAAATATTCCCAACCCCCCTTGATATTTTTTAACATTTAGAAACTTATCAATCTCTGTCTTGAATATACAGTCACCGACTTCCAGTCCTCAAGGGTAGAGAATCCCAAAGAGTCACCACTCTCTGAATGAAAAATTCCTCCTCAACTCAGTGTTAAGTAACCTACCTCTCATTCTGAGTCTGTGTCCCATGGTTCTAGGGTGCCAAGTCAGGGGAAAAGTCTTTCCTGTATCTATCCTGTTGAGCCCTCTAAGAATTTTGTAAATTTCAACGAGACCTCATTCTTCTAAACTCTTTAGAATATAGGCACATTCTCCTCAAATTCTCACCAATGGACAATCTTTGCCATCCTAGGGTTCGGCCCTGATGAACCTTCATTACATTTTTTTTATTCATTTGCGGGTTACTGGCTGGCCAGCTTTTATTGCCCATTCCTAGTTGCCCTTGAGAAGATGGTGGTGAGCTGCCTTCTTGAACCGCAGCAATCCATCTGCTGTAGGTTGACCCACAATGCCATTAGAGAGGGAATTCCAGGATTGTAATCCAGCAACAGTGAAGGAATGGTGATATATTTCCATGTGGTGCCACTATTTAAGAAAGGTGGTAATGAAAAGCCAGGGAACTAAAGACCAGTGAGCGTGTCATCTGTGGTGGGCAAATTGATGGAGGGACTTCTGAGGACAGAATCCCCTCCAATCCTGGGGAGGGAGTGGCCTAGTGGTGTTATCGCTGGACTGTTAATCCAGAGACCCAGATAATGTTCTTGTGACCTGGGTTCAAATCCCGCCATGGCAGATGGTGGAATTTGAATTCAATAAATATCTGGAATTAAGAATCTAATGATGACCATAAATACATTGTCAATTGTCGGAAAAACCCATCTCGTTCACTAATGTCCTTTAGGGAAGGAAACTGCCATCCTTATCTGGTCTGGCCTACATGTGACTCCAGACCCACAGCAATGTGGTTGACTCTGAACTGCTCCCTGGGAAATTAGGGATGGGCAATAAATGCTGCCTAGCCAGCGACACCCTCATCCCATGAATGAATAAAGAAAAAAAAAACATAATTTACATATATTTGGAAAAGCAAGGAATGATGAGGGACAGTCAACATGGCTTTGTGAGTGGGAAATTGTGTCTAACTTCACTGAGTTTTTTTGATGAAGTGACAAAGAAGATTGATGATGTGATTGATGCGGTGGATGTGAGCTGTATGGACTTCAGCAATACAAGGTTCTGCATGGTAGACTGATTAACAAGGTTAGATCACATAGAATACAGGGAGAGCTAGCCATTTAGATACAAAATTAACTCGAAGGTAGGAGATTGAGGGTGGTGGTGGAGGGTTGCTTTTTGGACCAAAGGCCTGTGACCAGTGGTGTGCCGTAAGGATCTGTGCTCGGTTCACTGCTTTTCATCATTTATATTGTGATTTTAATGTGAACATAGCAGGTATGGTTACTAAATTTGCAGATGACACCAAAATTTGTGGAGTAGTGGACAATGAAGAAGGTTATATCAGAGTACAACTGAACCTTGATCAGATGGGCCAATGGTCAAGGAGTGGCAGATGGAGTCTAATTTAGATAAAATGTGAGGTGTTGCATTTTGGTATGGCAAATCAAGGCAGGACTTATACACTTAATGGTAAGATCTTGGGGAGTGTTGCCGAACAAAGACACCTTAGGATATAAATTAATAGTTCCTTGAAAGTAGAATCACAGGTAGACAAAATAGTGAAGAAGGCGTTTGGTATGCTGGCCTTTATTGGTCAGTGCATTGAGTATAGGAGTTGAGAGGTCATTTTGCAGCTGTATAGGACATTGGTTAGGGCACTTTTGGAATACTGCATTCAATTCTGATCTCCCTGTTATAGGAAAGATGTTGTGAAACTTGAAAGGGTTCAGAAAAGATTCACAAGGATGTTGCCAGGGTTTGAGCTATAGAGAGTGGCTGAATAGGCTTGGGCTAATTTCTCTGGAGCATCGCAGGCTGGTAAAGGTTTATAAAATCATGAGCAGCATGGATAGGGTGAATAGCCAAGTTCTTTTCCCAGGGTAGGGGTGTCCAAAACTAGAGGGCATTGGTTTAAGGTGAAACTGGAAAGATTTAAAAGGGACCTAAAGAGGCAACTTTTTCATGCAGAAGATAGTGCATGTATGGCATGAGCTGCCAGAGAAGGTGGTGGAGGCTGGTACAACATTTAAAAAGCATCTGGATGGGTACATGATTAAGAAGGGTTTAGAGGGATATGGGCCAAATGCTGGCAAATTTGGGATTAGATGAATTTAGTATATCTGGTTGACATGGGTGAGTTGGACCGAAGGATCTGTTTCTGTGCTGTACATCTCTATGACTCTAAGTCAGGACGGTGAATGGCTTGGAGGGGAACTTGAAGCTGGTGATGCTGTTCCTATGTATTTGCTGCCTTCTAGATGGAAGTGGTTGTAGGCTTGCATGGTGCTCTATGAGGATCATTGGTGAATTTCTGCAGTGCACCTTGCATAGTATACACTACTGCTACTGAGCGTCAGTGGTGGAAGGAGCAGGTGTTGTGATGTAGTGCCAATCAGACGGACTGCTTTGTCCTCGATGGTGTCAACCTTTTTGAGTGTTGCTGGAGCTGCACTCATCCAGGCAAGTGGGGAGTATTGCATCACACTCCTGACTTATGCCTTGTAGATAGCGGAATCGCTTTGGGGAGTCAGGAGGTGAGTTACTCGCCACAGTATTCCTAGCCTCTGACCTGCTCTTGTGGCCACTGTGTTTATGTGGTGAGTTCAGTTGAGTTTCCAGTCAATGATAACCCCCAGGATATTGATAGTGGGGGATTCAGTGATGGTACTACCATTGAATGCCAAGGGGCGGCGGTTAGATTGTCTCTTATCGGTAATAGTCATAACTTAGCATTTGTGTGGCGTGAATGTTACTTGCCACTTGTCAGCCCAAGGCAGGTTATTGTCCAAGACAACAAGGTGCAGGGCTGGATGAACACAGCAGGCCAAGCA